TAAAGTATGACAGATCATGTAATCAGTCGGTTCTTCTTCCTCTGAATGGTGGCTGAGATCTTGTATCATATGCTGAGACCTCCAGCTCCAGGCATATCGTAAAAGGCTGATTAGTAATCTCGATTCTCCACATCCGTTATACGATGCTGCTCGATGGATTATGGATGTGTGCTTGGGTTATTGGTTGTTAGTTAACTGATTTACAGAGTGAAAGACACGGCAGCACAGCCGTGAGTATGAGAAACCTAGATATCTATCGTCAAACGTTAGCAGAGTATCTAAAATATGCTTTCACCCACGGAGAGGTTGATGTATGATGCCCCTCTTCCCTCTGCCCTCTTCCCTCTTCCCCCTTAGAAGACTCCTTACTTCGCACACCCACCCCACTGTAACGATTATTTTCATATGCACTTATTATACTTCCATTATGCTAGCAAACAAACGCAGCGAAGACTACTTTTTGCCTAGTATGCAGTGGTAACGGATGATTCGATTAGTGCTGAGATATTAGCTTCCCTCACTAGCCAGGGTGAACACATCATGATCCATGCACTAATAAATCCGTTCAAACCACCATTCAGCCCATTCAGCCCACTCAACCCACTCAACTCACCAAAACCCACGTTGACAACCAAAAAAAGATTAACCATCTCCTCCAGGGCATTCATACATGGGCTTATTTTATTACATTCGTTTCCATGTCCGTTCACATAACAAATCACATTACATCCCCATCCATGGCAATCAAAGAGATAATCCAGAAGAAATTCCGACCCCGTCTCCCACCGTCTCTCCCTGCAGATGCCGCCATGTACTAATCTCGCTCGCATTCTCCCTCCCCCTCTCCCTCTCACTCTCACGCTCACTCTCACGCTCACTTGCATTTCCCTTTCATTATTTAAAGCATAGCCTTGTTTAGGATTGGATCTACCACTGTTGCAGGCTTGCTTTTGCTAGAATTTTTAATCATAATCATATCTCCCTGCATCTGCCAATTCGTCTGGTCTCTTACACATTCCTTGGCTTCACGTCCTGCATCCTCCTTAAATAATAAAGCTCCTCCATACCCTCCTTGCGCATTCTTGGGACCGACGAACATCTGCTCGTGTTTTCGTATATCCAATCTTTCCAATTCCAATTCAACATCAGTTGAAAACGTCTCCTTTCTTTCCCATCGAACTGTCGAACTGTCGAATTGTCGAATTTGCGTATATCGTCCTTCAAATACAATGGCTACAAACGGTACCAGTAGGAACCCTCCAAGTACTATTGATCTCTCTGCCATTGAATCGAGAAGCATTCACTAATTCGTCTCATGTACAGCTCCCTCTTCTGCCAATGAAGAGCAGAACAAATTCTTCGAAGATTTCGGCGTCTGGAAGGAAGCTCCTATACTTATAGGAAGCACCAAATTTACACCATTGCCAGATGTTAAGAATATCATGATTACGGGAGGAGCGGGGTTTATGTAAGGACACATTTGTTTGCGCAGCACAGAACGGACTTTTAACCTTTTGTTAGTGCGTGTTGGCTGGTACGACATTTGACGTTGACATACCCCGATGCTTATAATATTGTTTCTTTCGACAAGTTGGATTACTGTGCTTCATTGAATAACACCCGGGCACTCAACGACAAGCGCAATTTCACCTTCTACCATGGTGATATTACAAACCCATCGGAAGTTGTAGACTGCTTGGAACGATACAACATTGACACAATCTTTCATTTCGCGGCACAATCCCATGTTGATTTGAGTTTCGGAAATTCATATGCCTTCACACACACGAATGTGTATGGTACCCACGTTCTTCTCGAGAGTGCCAAAAAGGTTGGAATCAAGAAGTTCATTCATATCTCTACAGATGAGGTCTACGGAGAAGTCAAGGATGATGATGATGATCTCTTGGAAACCAGCATTTTGGCACCCACAAACCCATACGCTGCGAGCAAGGCAGCAGCAGAGATGTTGGTACACTCTTACCAGAAGAGCTTTAAGCTGCCTGTGATGATTGTACGCAGTAACAATGTTTACGGTCCACATCAATACCCTGAGAGTAAGTCCTTTGGTCAAAGTCGTGAATTTCGTAGCTGACATTCAAATAGAAATCATTCCAAAATTCAGTTGTTTACTTCAACGTGGACAACCAGTTGTGTTACATGGAGATGGAACTCCCACCAGAAGATATCTTTTCGCTGGTGATGCAGCTGATGCATTTGATACTATTCTTCACAAGGGTACAATTGGACAGATCTACAACGTCGGCTCATACGATGAGATCTCCAATTTGACATTATGTTCAAAATTACTCACATACTTGAACATCCCCCACAGCACCCAGGAAGAACTTCATAAGTGGGTCAAGCATACTCAGGATCGACCTTTCAACGATCATCGATACGCAGTTGATGGAACCAAGCTCAGACAATTAGGTTGGGATCAAAAGACCAGCTTCGAAAATGGAATGGCGATCACGGTTGACTGGTATAAGAGATTTGGCGAGAGATGGTGGGGTGATATCACCAAGGTCCTCACACCATTCCCCACTGTTGCTGGTTCGGAAGTGGTGGGTGACGACAACAATACTGTTGTTGAAGAACTCAGAGAAGAGATGGTGGTCGACGCTGATGATAATATGATTTTGGGCAAGAAGAGGAAGTTGAATGGCGTTCCGGGTGGATCAGCTCAAGCAGTGGAAGCATAGGTTATTTTGGTTATAGTCTCTGACTCACCTGCACTGCATTGATTGCACTTCAGCTTCTTGCTTGGTGGCGTAGAAAATGGATTGGTGATTGGTGATTTAAGGGATTGGCTATCGGATACAATTTAGAGCGTGCGTTTTTAATATATTCCCCATGGATAGACCTAGTTGATTGGTGGTACATTCATAGATGATGTTGATGTTGGAAACTTATTTATGAATATTGGCTTGGGGTTTCTGGTTGGATTGAATGGGTTTGGATTGATAAGTATGAATTAGGATATACTTGATCACAAAATAAAAAGATGTCATTTTTTGGAAGAACAATCTTCGTCATTGGGCCTCTCTTGGACGTTGACTATCGAGTGAGTTTCTGGAATATGAAGATCTTTTTCGGACTTGGGTATGAGGGATTGTGTAGTATGGTTTTACTTTTTACTTGGTATAAGTGTGAGGAGATGTGGGATATACTGATCGATAGAAGTGTTGATGCGCGGGGTGGGATACTGCGGTAGTGGTGGTAGTAAGGGGAAGAGGGGGGTGGCTTTGGGGAGTTTGGTTTTTGGATCATATTTACATCTCATCACATTGCATCCTTTCCTTTCCTTTTCTCTTCTCTTCTCTTCTCTTCGAGTACTTTTCCTATTTTTGGTTCTCTGGCTAGATGGGATAGATTGTGTGGCTGTGTGCGAGGAGCTGAATTGGATGAATCGGATTATATCACTTTTGTTTGGGGAGAAAGGGATAGGAAGGGATTGGGAAGGGATTGGAAAGCTTTAGAGACTGGGAGACTGGGAGACTTAGTAAATGTGGGAGAGCGGTGTGTGTGTGTATATATGTAGGTATGGTTGTATATAAGATCTTACATATATATAAGACTCGAAAGCGACCTCGAAGCGATCTCGAAAGTGATTCAATCACATCACTTTTGTAGTCTGGTACTGGTATGGTATAAGACTGGTTGGTTTGGAGGGATGGGAGCTAGTGTTTATTTGAGATGGATGGATGGTTGGGGGTGCATCGTGGAGGTGGTGTTTGTAGATGGGTGGGGAGGTGGTGTTTGTAGATGGGTGGGTAGGTGATGGGTAGGTGATGGGTAGGTGATGGGTAGGTGATGGGTAGGTGATAGGTAGATAATAAGGAAGAAATGAGGAGGTAATGAGGAGATAATAGGGAGAAAGTCATTAGGTTTCTGGGTTCTATTGTTGTGATGAGATGTGATGAGTATAATGAGATGAACGGGATGAGGGTTGTAGTTTGATAGGATGGATAGAATTCGATATGTATGGTGTGAAGACTGCAAGGTGTACTATTTTTGCTATATGGAAATTGAACTTTGAATTGAGCTATGGTTGTGAGATTTTGTATTGATATAGAAAGTTAGTTAGTTAGTTCTAGAGGATATTGTGATGAATGCAGTAATCGGATTGCGGGGGCTCTTGGAGTAGTCGGTGCTGATACTAATGCTATGTTTGTTGATAAATAGACTACTTGCATATATACTCATAGAGAAAATATCGAATTGTCCAGAAATTGAATATCGTGGATATACTATCATAAATATCAGAACTACATTTTACTAAAATGGATAACATAATTTATATACAAGTAAATCATATCACTTAATAGATTACTTAATTTACATAAAAAATCTATTTATATATAATTATATACTTTCTTTATTAATCAATAAAATTATTCAAAAATCTTTTTTATAATATACAATCTTTCAATCGTTTTAAAAATCTAATTTTTTTCTAAAAATTCTAAAAATAATTTAAGTTATTAAAGAAAGACACTTTTTATAATACAAAATATAATAATTTCAAACCAAATGAACTTTTTTTTAAAAAAAAACTTAAATATTATAAATAGTTCATTTTGATTATTATTTTTAACAATTTTTTCTTTCAAAAATAATAATCAATTATTAAAGCAAAAATATTAAAAATAATTAATTTTAATGTATTTTCAAGTGATTCATTTGATGATATAATTCACTTATAGTTATATGAACTACATTATATAAAACTTCATTACTATACTAGATTCAAAGCCTACCCAGATAATCCAATTCCAACACCAAGGACATGGACATGGAGTTTTGGTGAATATCAATGGCCATTCTATATACCTAGTACTGTTTGCAGGTAACCAATTGGATGATTTATCAACGGTCAATGGGGTTTCTGTAACTTTGGTAAAATGCTAATGGAACGATCCGTACATTGGGTTCCGGTGAAATTTACCTTTCTTGCTCCGTATTTTGTGGGTTTTCCGCTGTCAACCTTTTTGGTTCTCTCAATAAGATAGGCTGGAAAAGCGTGGTAAGTACAGAGTACTATACTAAACACTGGCACTTTGATTTGTATCTTTGGTAGAAGCTAACTCATTAACTAACTAGGGACCGCTACGAGAACGACGGAGGTAACTGAAGTGAAGATAGACAAAAGAGCTAGCTGGCTGGCTATGCTATCTAGGTGCCTAGGTAGTAGCTAGCTAATGCATTCCATAGACCTCAAATAGGTCACCGCTTTCGATGATCGGATCACAGGACAATCTTTGGTAACTTCGCGAAGTCTTGGTGGTGGGAGTACGGAAAACGAAGTACCGTGCCATCTTTTGGGTTTGGGTCTGGGCGTGTTCATTGGAACGCGCGGATGCTTTTCCGGGATTGCGATTTCGATCTGGGTGCGTTTTGTTTGTTGATCTCGGAAAACGAGCTGGTGAGGGAGAGTAGCTTGGTGTTCAGTATCGCATCTATCTGCATCGACTTTGTATACAATCCATTGAACCAGAGGAGACGGGAGCTCGGGCGAATGCTGGTTTCGAGATCGGCATACATAAATATTGATAATCCAATCGAAAGATAGCAACGACGAGTCGATACACCATAACATCATACGGCACACAGGGTGGCGGTTGGACTGAATGGTAATTTGGAGAAGGAAAAAGTCAATGGGAGCTGTTTGCACCAATCCCAAATCAATGGGGGAGCAAGTGGAGGAAGGAAATGACAGAGGAAATGGTTCACCAGATGAGAATGAGAATGTTCCTGAAGACTTGAGAGATTCGGATAATGGTAATGGTGTCCCGCTGATACCAGACGACAATGATGAAGAGGAAATGGAAAATGATGCGATTGCTGCGAGGGAAATTGTGCAGAAGGAAATTGAAGACCTTAGAAAACGGGCTGCTTATACCAAATCTGTTTTTCATCATGCTCAAACGGATCGAGATACAGTGTGAGATCCTTACTTGTTATTTTTTATATTCTCTCTATAACTATTTGCTAATACTTTTTCAACGTTGATAGAAATTCCACTCGCTCCCTCTACGATTCAGATGTGGTATATTTACAACAACATGGTCGAGTTTATGTAGGAGATTATTATATGCCAATTGATGAGGAAGAACTGGATCGTTTACGCATCATTCATCAAATATATCTCCAGATCTTCGACAACCAACTTACTACCGTGCCTCTCCAATCTCCGACTCGCATTCTCGATATTGGAACAGGAGCTGGTGATTGGGCTATGGGAATGGGTGATCTATGGCCCTCGGCCGAAATCATAGGAACCGACATCGCCAAAATCCAACCCACAGCCGTTCCCTTCAATGTGTTTTTCGAAATTGAAGATGCGGAAGAAGAAGGTGGATGGACGTGGCCTGCTAATGAATTTGATCTCGTGCATTTGCGGAATATGGCCGGTGCATTTAGTGATTGGGATCAGATATATTCCGAAGCATTCACTCATCTCAAACCCGGTGGATGGATCGAAATTATGGATTTTGATGACCATGCAGCTTTCCTTACATTTTTCGAAAAAGATAGTCCCATGCCGGCCCTTCTGCACTCTTTAGGAGAAGCGGCTCGAATATCTGGACGACCACGTGGAATTGCACATCTTCAGCCGGAAAAGTTGGAGAAATTGGGATTTGTAGATATAGAAGTTAAGGAATTTGGGATTCCGATGGGTCCTTGGCCAGATGATAAAACGCAAAAGACGATAGGGAAATTATGGTTGGTGTCGATGTTGAGCTCGTTGGAAGCGTATACGTTGCGATTGTTAACGCAGGCTTTGGGGTGGGAGGAAGAAGAGGTTAGGAGGATATGTGTGTCGAGTGGAGAGGAAATGAGGAGGGTCAGTTTGGATGTTGAGAGGGCGAGGGGGTTGAAAACTGTGGCGAGGGTTTTGGTGGGGAGAAAACCGGAGTGGCAGGTGGATGCTGATGCTAATGGGGATGGGGAAAGTGTAGTGACGGAAACTCGGACGATTAATGGTGATGGACATATAAAATTGAATGGCGAATAAGTTCGCTCGCATGCATACTACTTCGTCTACTAGTGTAGTCGGTAGTCAAAAGATCTCATTTCATCTATCTATCTATCTATACTGTACAGATCTGGGAGGCATTTTGTATTTGGGTCATGATTACAGTCTTCTCATTCTGGGTGGATTTCTCCTTTTCAGCAAGCATGCAAGCGCGGCATTTTGATGTTAGAAAAGTATTTACTTTACTTAACTTCATGATTGGAACTTAGAAGACGAATTACGATGTTAAGAAAGAATAGGCTATGATGATGGGATGGGCAAAAATTGATAGGGTGGGCTGTTTATTAGCTTGGTGGGAATTGGATTGAGAGGAGAGGAGAGGAGAGGAGATGAGATGAGATGAATTTGATACAGCATTTTGGAATTAGGGTTTAGGTTTTACAATAGATACCCGGCAATAAGAATCACTGTTTGTATGTGGATGGTTTGGGTGGTTGTTTTGGTTGTATGGATGTTGGTTCTTGGTTCTTGAATGTGAATTTTTGGTGCTGTTGATGTTGTTGATGATGTTTGCTTATTTCTTGTTTTTGGTGCTGTGAGTGTGTATACCTGGCTGGGTATACAGATATCGGTCGTTCGCATCTATGAATTGAGATTTTGCTGATTTATTCAGAGTTGTTGTGCTTAGTTTGTATGATGAGAGACTCGCGAGATGCGAGTGTTAGATGGACGGGTGGATGTTTTTCTCGTTTGTATAGATTTTATCTTGTCAGCGTTACTTTAGTACTCTTGTTCACTATGACTTCTTTCTAATACGCATCACACAGTTGAGCGTGGATTAATGTGTTGGTCTTCTTCATTTGGGTTGGTTGTGCGATCGTTCTTGTTTGCCTAGAAGCTTGTATGATATTAGGGGATTTTCCGTGTAATGGTTCTTATTTTCTGATGTCTGGTTGTTTGCCCTTCTGGCGTTTGGATGGTGCTTGTGGTAATGGTGAAAGTGTTCACGGAGGGGAATTTTAGGTGTTGATGATGTTGAATTAGGGGCACTCTTATTAGTGTTTGTGTTGATCTTATTATCATTTTCTTGTTTGGAGGTTATCCACATCTTGAAACTAAGCTTGTTCATGAATTACCTAGGTTACTAAGGGTTTGTTATGAGGCTCTCCCTATTCAGCTGAATATTGTTGTTGTTGTTGTTGTTTAGTATTGTTCTTAGATAGTGATATTCAAATTTTGTTTTACCGATCGATGTCTTGTGCTAATTTTATATATTCATTTTTTTCGGTTTATTCACCAAGGTTGTCCAACCGAAAATATGGAGATCGAGTTGATTAGCTGATCGTTATTCATGAACAATGATCGTTGGTAGTTGATTTAGAACATGAGTGAGGCTTCATCGTTCGAGTCATAATATATGTTTTGGGGCGGCGAGTAGTAAATGATTGAAAAAATGATGCGAGTGCAGTGATTCATTGAAAGCTTTGAGGGAATGAATATATAGGTATATAAGGGTTCCTCCCGTCATTTCAAATTCATTTTCTTTTCTTTATTGCTATTACATGATCAATATATCACTTCAACCCACTTTTTGCTATCATATATACAGCTCTGCTTGCTGTAAAGCTTACCACTGAAGAAGATTTGAGAAGATAGTTGGAAGAGGAAATGTGACTTAGATTCGATGAGGAAATTTTAGGCAATAGGATAGGCAACCATTTTATCATCAACCTGATTTATTGTCATCGCTGCCTTGCGCTCGGAGGCTACATTGATAGATGAGCGACTTGATGAGATTCGGGATATATTGTATATCAGTGACGCAGCTTTACGGCTTTATTATATCTTATCTGCATACACATTATACCATTCACAATCATATAACATCACGATACTCTTACACTACGATTCACAATCTACATCCCGCAAGTAACATCGAAGTAGGACAAAGAAATGTGTGTTGAAACGCGATATAGATATACTGGTTGTGGCCATGTGGCACCGTTTTCGAGTTCAACTTCGGCTTTAACTTCGACTTCGAGACGAAGAGGGGTTGGTGGGATTGTCTTTTGTAAAAACAGTTTGAATAGAGAGGGTGGGATGGAGAGAGGGGGCGAATATTTGAGGGATTTGGAGACAAAAAGAAGAAGATGGTGGATAAAGTGTGAGAGGAAGAGGGGAAGAATGAGATATAGAGGGGGGACTTGTGGGGTTTGTTTTGGGTGGGCCGGGGGGGAGGGGGAGATGAGAGGGATGAGAGGGGAGGGAGGGAAATTAGTGAGTTGGGGAGGAGTATGAAGAGATTGGGGAGAGGTTGGGGTAGGGGAGTTAAGAGTAGAGGGGGAGGATGTAGGGTGCTATGGAGTGAGTAGTCGAGATTGGAATGGGGATTTTGGGTTTGAGATCAAGGGGGTAGATATAGATGGGAAGTTAAATATTGGGAGAGGTGGTAAATGGAGTTTTTGAATACCTACTTACCTCGGTAGAGGAGGTGAGCTGTGATAAATTTATATGAAGAATGTGAACTTGAAGATCTTACCATAAGGGGGGAGGGTCTGGATATTGATGTGGATATTTTATGATGGAAATTGATAATTGATTAAGGTGACTCTTCTGCAAAGAGTTATGGGGAGTTTGGACGCTTTGAGGTACTCTTTATGTGAATTTGTTATATTCTTCTGCCTTTTTCTTCTTCCTTTGTTTTGTTGTTCATCGTTGATATTTTGTCTTCACATGGGAGGTATATTGATACCTGCTTTGCGTTTATAACTAGCTAGCTAGCTAACTGTATGAATGGATAGACGGATGGATAGTTCGTTAGTTGGCTATATAGGTTGGTAGATAAATTTTTCTACCTATTTTACCCATGTGACGTTATGTTATGTTTGCAGTGAGCTAAGATGATACTCAATCCTCGAAAACCTAGATACAGGTCAGGTAGATAGATGTGTTGTATCATCTTGATGGCGATATTAGTATGAAAAAAAAGACATCGGGTTTGTTATTCTTACCTAGGTACTGAGTTAGAATCTTCAGAAGTCGAATGGGAAAGCAGAAAGGGAGACGGTATGGGATGTTTGTGTAACTAGACTAGGTTTTTACTTGGATAGTCATTTTGTATATGTATCTATGTATCTATGTATATATGTTTAGCTTTCTTTCACTTTAGGAAAGAGGAATATCGGAGATAATCTAGGTAGGTGTTGTTCAGATCTTTGACTCTAACCGAACCCAAAAAGACTCTCCACCATTAACTCACAAGGTTTGATTGGAGGGAGAAGAAATGAGAACGGAGAGAATGCGAAATAAATATTCCAAGATTCACTACACGTTTGAATCTCCACACTCCACAAAACTCACAGGCGAAACAAAAAAAAGACGTCCTCTTACCATCCATTTATCTATCTCAAGATCTCAATATTTCCACCACAGTCTCCAATACCAAAACAAAATTCTAAAAATCTAATAGGAGTGCCGAGCAAAAATAAATAAATAGAGATAGATAGATATCAAAGCACCTCGTCACTGGGTGTCGTGTTCGGAACGGGTGAGATCCTTAGTCGCAGGGTAGACGGTTAAGCCAATAGCCAAGTCCATGGAAATGCTTTGATGTAATGGAGAGGTTGGTTTGGGGATATCTTTGTAGGTTAGGGAATTGTGATTTGTGATTATGGCGTTTCTGCAGAGCTGTGCGTGTGGATGGGAAGGAGTTTGATCGAGGGGCATGAGGTTATTCATGGGCTTCGATATCTGGGGGTGTGTGGTTTGTTGCTGCTACCAGCCAGATTTACGGCATGTGTTGATGGATTAGATGAGTATAATTCATCGGATCTATATTCATGGTTTAATAGGTGATTTATATACATACATAAATCTACTTGTTTAATAATTTACAAAAGGAAATGCGCAACCTTTTCGTATCATCATTGAATTATTGAACTAGCTGTATACTACCATCCCATCCTAAGAAGACTTCAACACCGAAAGATCATGCATTACTTCGGCTGTTCCGTCGTTGATGCTCTCGAGATGGCGAATCTTTGAAGTTTTGAGTTCAAGGGTATAGTCACTCGTTGAGAATACCCAGGTACTGACCGTAGCCATACAATCAATTCATCTTTCGCCGGAGTTTTCTACGGCACTTAAATGATTATATCTAATGCGCCTACTGATCGATGTTCAATGTCTTATACAGCTTGCAAAGTCTTTATCAGGTTCATAGTTTCACCAGACGAAGTTCTTTATCCTCATTCATCTTCCAACTTCTACATCGATCTTCTTCATAAAGTCTCATCAAGCCTAAATTCAACTTCACCACACTCGAAATATCAACAACTACAATCAAAAATTCATCCCCTCAACTAAACAACATGTCCACCACAATCCTCGCATCACTTCTCCACAACATCGAAAACTTCCTCGCCTACCTCTTCACACCCCTAAACACGCATCTCTCATCATCCGCACAACAATTCCTCATCATCACCTCCGCCTGCTTCACCAGCATCCTAATTTTCTCATTCCTAAACAAGGCCGTTAACACTTTCGGCGCTCTTCTCACACGTATACTTATTTCTCCCGAAACAATTCTCAACCAAGCTCTCGGAGAAATTGAAGCTATTCCTACATCTGCGGAGACGCTTTTTAGTCAAGCATTTTGCAAATTCGACGCGGTGCGGAATTATAAAACTATCAAAAATGAGAAAGATTTACAAGATTTGCAAGATTCTAAGACTATTATGAAAAAAGAAAAGAACGTTTGGCAACCAACTGCTAAACAGACAAAATATATGCCCATGGCTTTGTATGGGATGTTCCTGACATGCTATTTTGTATATGTGGTTTTGGAGTTTGAAGGCTGGGTGAGGGAAGGGATCCTTGTACTTTCGGGACTGAGTTTGGTTAATGTGGGAGTTTTGAATTTGTTGGGCGGAGCGAGAGGAGGGGGTTAGTAATGTTAGGAATTTTCTTGAGTCTTTTGTTGGTGATTGGGAGGGGACTTGTGTACTGACTGAGATAGGGGTCGAAAGTAAAGGTCTTTTTGTGACTGCTTGAGGTCTAGGATGAGAATAGGGATTATAGGTGTTTCGCCTTTGGATGAAACATACTTGATGATAGAGGTGACCTTTCAATCGTTCAAAGTGACTGGGGGAGGTGTGACCTTACTATTGAAGGGTGTCATGCAATGGATTTCAAGGTTGCTTTGCTGGACTGGACAGGTTTTATTAGGAGACGTCTTCTGAACATACCAGGAGGTTGATGAATATTCTTACTCACACTTCTAGGATTTAGAGCAAACAGAGTGGTGGGAAGGGAAATCATTTCAAGTAGTGGAAGTACTTTGAGATCTTTCAACAAAGCTAACTTTCAATGACTAATTACCAACTTAGGCAATCATATTAAGAACAATTAAACACTGAAATATCATGAACCAAAGTGCAGACCTGCGAACTTTCTAAATGTGGAAAACAAATATGAAAGGCCAGAATGATGGTGCCAGAATTTGTGAATTTGAATGTGTGAAGGTGTGAAAGTAAGACAAACAGCAAGCTGTAGAGCTACCGACTATTTCCTTGAACAACTTATCAACATACTCTTCATGGACATGATTCAACTCTTATAATAACCTCAAACTTGAGATTAAATTTCCAGACAGACAGAAAATGACTAATCAGAATGATTTCATACAAAACCAATTCACCCAACTTTTTCTTATGTAAGAGTTAAGTCGGGTACCCTACTTTCGGGCCACCCCCCTTTTGGGCCACTTTTTACACCAAAAATGGAATTTTTAACTTTCTTATTTATAAATAGAATCTATTGAAAATTTATATATATATAATTTAAGTCATTTTTAGTTTAGCTTAAAAATTTCAGATTTTTAGGAATTTTCTATATTGAGATCTAAAGCTTTAAAATATCGATTTTTAAATTTGTATAGGAATTACATATAAATTTGAAACTTTTATAAAATCTTTAATAACTTTTTAAAAAAAATTATTAAAAATAAACTATAAAATTTTACTATAAATTTATAACATATTTATTTTGAAGGATTCAGAAAAAAAGAAAATCTCCTATAAATAGATATTTAAAAAAATACCCTTAAAATTACAGGGATTATTTATACTATTTTAAACTCATTATATATTATATCTCTATATCTATTAATCTTTTTTTAATTTTTTTTTAAATTCTATATAAATTTAAGTTCAAAACTTTCAAAAAGATATATAGTTGTTTTAAATGGTTGTTATTAAAAAGTTATTAAAGTGTTACGGAGGTACCCGCACCGCAACATGGATTATAAGATAAACCTAAGGCCTTGGTGTTGGGACCTACGAAAACAGCACTGTAGGGACAGTTGAATTAAAGGGTAACTAAAGATAGCGGTAACCGAATAAATAAGCAGTGATTAAAAGATAGGTACCTATCTTTTATTGGCACCTACCCCACAGTAGGCACAGGTTGCACAACGGTTACAGATTAGCTAGTAAGCACAGGTTAAATAAGCGGTAGCCTTACCAGGTCACGAGGACAAGTGTCACGTGAAGGAAAGTCGATTCGACTTGTCGACTCGAGTAGTCGAGTAGACTTGACGATTCGATCAAAGTACGAAGGTCTATATAAGGGAATGGGTTTCATTACAATGTAGAGCTTCGTGCTCAAGAACAATCATTAGTTTCATTACTATAGTTACGAGAATTGCAACCAGTTACCAACCTTATTGAATTCCTACTTGAAGTTTAGTCTAAACCACCTCGAGAGAACTCTAGACACTTCCACGTGACCCTAGAGGCAGCTCCCGTAACATAAAGATTTTATAAAAGTTTCAAATTTATATATAATTCCCATACAAAATTAAAAATCGATATTTTAAAGCTCTAGATCTCAAAACAGAAAATTCCTAAAATTTTCAAATTTTCAAAATAAGCTTAAAATAACTTAAATTATATATATTCAGATTTTTATTAAATTAGATTATATATTAATAAAGATATTAATAGGCTAAAAAAGCGATTTTTGGTATAAAAGGATGACTCAAAACAGAGATGGCCTGAAAGTAGAGTGGTCGACTTAAGACCCTGGCTTATCGCACACTACTCTTTTTCGTGGCAAAATTCCCGTAAAAATGCTGTTTTTCCATATAAATTAATTATTTTTATAATTTTTTAAATATATAAAGAATTGATTTGAAAATTATATATATAAGAAATAACTATATAAAGAATATTTATTTGAAATAGTTCCTTGAAATTATAAGAATCGATAAAGTTATAGGTTTTTAAAGTTGAAATTTTTCAAAATTTATAATATATAATACTTTTTTTATATAAAAAAAACCCACTTTTTTTCAAATTTTTAATACTTTCAATTTTAAGAATCTATAACTTTATTAAAAAAAATTAATAAAAATATTTCATTCATTTTTTTGAATCATTTTAATGATTTTCAATCTTACATATCATTTTCATAAACTTAATTTATAAATTGATTAAATTAATATATAGTTTAAGAGTTAAAGAAATGAGGGTTTTTGGTGTGTTTTCGCTTAGTGTGCAATAAACCGGGGCCTAAACTCTTATATAACAACAAATAAGAGTTCCTATCTTCAGTTTCTAGAGCACTCGAGTTGCCTGGCCGACTTGTCTGACCAACCATAGGTACTTGACAGTTCAGACGGCCGGAATCTCATCTATTAATTACAAAACCTTGCTAGAGTCTGCGTAAGGGAAACTTGGGATTGGGATCTATGAGGTTCGTGCCCTTAACAGGGTGCAGACTGAGATTTTGCTTCGATTTTGCTTCGTGTGGTCCTTTTAGTTAATTTCTTTTGGTTTTTGTAATGTTTTTATTTTTGTGGAGTTTTCTGTGGGTAGATAAAGGGATTGGGAGATTCACTGTGAGGAATTGAAGAAGAGTTGGTTTCGAGATTGTTGATAGTTGTGTGATTGAATTGCTGTTTCTTTTTATATCAATCGCCTCTAGCAATCATCAGGTGCAAGTCTATCGACCTCTGGTGAGATTCACGTGACTGATTCGCCTTTTGGATGCTCCATATGCTAATGCCATCCCAAGATCAATACATCAGTAAACAAGAAGGTTCTCAAAAGCATAATTACCGAAGAAAACCTCATTCTTATTCTACTGGACAGTAATATTAGACTTCCAATAAATGCCACTACTATCGAGATATGTAATTGCAAATATAGAATTCAAGCTCTCAAACTACTAAGATGCAAAACCAAAGCAAACACAACGATGCAACAAGAAAATCATTAGAACATCTAAGGTTACAGAATGGTAGATCAGTGATAATCCCGAGCTTCCGATTGTGACATGCAGGGCTTCCTAGATTGATTGATCGACCATAAATTCCTCGATTTCCGTTCTCTGGGATGTGGATCTTCGGTGATGACTCAATATCTAGGTAGTGGAAGATATTTCGTATGAAGGAGGTAATTGAAAGTTGATGTAGGTATATCTTGAAAGAATTTGTGTTTTGCTGTTAGAATTTCTTTCTAAACAATTGCTTTAATGTTTGTTATCGGGACTTGCCTCCTTGTGTGTCCGTTGAGTAAATACCACTGGCCGGTTCTTCGATCATTGAGTCATTAGCTATCTCCTGTTGAATTCCGCCCAAGTAACGTCACGGTATAATCTACTTGGTCCCGTGAGTTTTTCATCGGAACGTGATAGCGAGGTACTAACGATTTCAGACTAATCAACGGGAACACAAGAAGGAACAATACCACAAACTTCCAAATCTCTCCCCAAGAAATTGCCGAGAAAAAAGGGGGTACAATGGCCACATCAACGTCCTCCTCCTCCTCGGGCCTCAAATTCTACATCCACCCCCAAGAAATCATCTCCGAAACTCTAATTCCAAGCCTCTACAACAACCTCCCATACAGTAACCCCATCTACAGTCGCATGCTCGCTCCGCACAACACACCTTCTAGACACTGTCTCTTCGCCTCCACTTTCCCTCCACACACTCCCATTCGCGAGATCTACACCATCATCTTCTCAGATCGATCCCGCAAAACCGAATCGCAGATCTGGATTTTCAATCCTCTGATCACGCCTTCCTATGCAAAACCTCTCTCGGATGAACATGCATCTCTTCTCTCCACACATCTAAAACTCGTCCTCGTTTTCCTCAAAAATACAGAGATCCCCCAAGCTCCCGGATTCCCTTTCGATCCCATCCTCAAATTCGCATGTTTACATGAAGTCATCACAAACTCTCTCACAGCTCTCTCATCCCAATCATCAACATCAACACCCACCCCCCTAATCCCCTACCACACCCGCTGGAACCTCTACCTCATCCCCACAACTCTCTCCCCCAATCACCCAGCACCACCCCCACCCCCCCACCTCCCTCATCCCCTCCCGCGTCCCCGCCTCCCACATCAACCTCGTAATCTCCACCTCCAGCATCCCCCGCGAACCCAGTACTCTCCTCGCACAACCCTCTCTCTGTCTCCTCACCCCTGAATCCGAAATGGTAGCATGGGCTTTCGTAGGCATCGACGGCACGCTCGCAACTCTCTACGTTCTTCCTTCTCACCGTGGTCTCGGTCTCGCTACTTATGTTGCGCGCGAACTCATTCGTCGTTTTGGGATAGGAGAATTTGCGGATTTGGGGTTCAATGGGTCGAGTGGCTTTGTGCATTCCGATGTGAAGGAAGGGAATGCAGGAAGCGAGGGGGTGATGAGGGCGTTGAGAGGAAAGAGGAGTTGGGAGAGTAGTTACCTTTGGGTTGATTGCGCGGTGGTGCATGAGGTTTGTGGATGATCTACGCATGGGTGGATAGAGTTTTGATTCGTTGGAGGAGTATCGGATTCTAGTTGATTAGGTCTAAAGGTGGTCGTCAAGAGGTCACATAAAAGAATTGAAGTATAAATTAATGAGATCATTTCATTATATGAGAAAATTCAATCATTGTATGGTTCATGATTTTGATTTGTAGCTCTGCTAAGCTCAAATTGCTTGCGAATATATACTTAGCATTCAAAATTCTTCTCCCATCGAATCATCAACAAATATCATAGATCATGCATCTCATTAAACGTCATATCTCGCTGCCCATTCTCCCCAAAAATGATTCCCAGCCAAACAGTATATGCAAATATACCAAATAAAAACACAATTCCGCCTACATTATATACTACCATTATACCCCAGCAATTCCATCTTCCAAGACCCTCACGTATGGCGCAGGAAACAATCCCTTAGCGCCCATATAGCATCCCCAAAACCAATCTCCATTGACATCCTTACACTCCCTTACCTCTGCCCCCTTTGGAAACATCAATTCATCACTCGCACCTTCCGCAGGCCACCAACTCCAAATTGCTAAACTTGACATCCCGATTCCGCCATCAGGTGGGAACGATCTTTCAATCGTTAGCCCAGAGACTGATGTCGGCGCAACCTTCGATGGATCCGTGGTGACGAGTCGAACGAAAGTATCATTATCTTGACTCCAGCTCCATTTCTGTAGTTCGGGTGCTGTGTGATCAGGCGAGGGGTAGAGCATGGGTTCGATATCAAGGCTGTGACCTCCAACCAGATCCTGAACTATTACTCTACGTTGGCCCCCACGGTCATCTTCAAATCCTACGATTACCATACGGTGACCTTGTAAACAACGTCGCCACCCATTGTGACCATTTTCGACACTGATGCGACGGGATGTGACGAGTTTGGGGTAGCAGGTTGTGCAAATATCGTAATCTCCAGGTTGAGTGTCTGGGACAGCGCTAGTACATGAGTAGCAGTGATAGCGAGTGGATGAGGGTTGGATGGGGTATCGACAGATATCACAATTGGTCGAGAAAGTGAGAGGTTTAAAGTTACCCACGTCTACAACGCCGGGTCCCTGTAGAATAGTTGCCGATTGTGGAAGTTGTTGATCATGCATGGGAGATAAGGGAGGTGTGTATGATTCCGATGGTTTATAGGTCAGCGGTAGAAGAGAATGTGTACATGATCTCCCTTGGTTGACGCAGAGATTGCAAAATCCCCAATCACCATGATTGCAAATATCGCAACGCCAGTAACATTCGTTTGTCCATGCTAAGCAACTTGCACAGAATGCACCACTTTGCAGACGTTTCTGAGGATCTTCTGTAGTTAGAGTCTTGCGACCGTCCGCGCCGCCAGCAGACATTTTAGGTGCCATGTAGCGATTTGCTGTGAGCATATGTGGCCTATCTGCACCTTGCGGTATTTTTCCGGCTTGCATTTGATTTTCCCAATTTGTCCATGCCGAATAGCCAAATCCAAACCAATGCAGACATCCTGCACCGGAGCGATAGCATGAGAGACAGATGTTGTAATTGCCACGCAAGCAAGCTGAGCAATTATAATGCACTTCATATTCAATATGAGTTTTTTGACATCTTCTACATAATATTGATGGTTCAGGATAAAGCTGTGTTCGTGGTCTAGACCCCACAGAATGAGAAGAACTTGGTCTGGTACCACTTGCTAATGCAGCAGCTTTATCGAAGAGTGCTAGATGAGTAGGAGTATGTGGTGAAAGTGGTGCAGGAATCAGTGATTCATCCATGTATGGAACAGATGCAGGAACAGCAGAGGCAACGAAAATATCGGCTGGGGCATTAGCACGAATGCTCAATGGAGCAGGTATATCAGGTAGTTCAGGCATATCGTCTGAATGAGATCTTTCTAGCAAGCTGTTGCTTGATGTTCCCGGCGTCGATTCTGAGGGAGATGCAACTACTTTACTATTAGATGTTCTTGTAGTAGAGCCTGTTTGTGGTTGTGGTTCCCTACTTGATGATTCACTCAATCGTCGCACATTGGAGTCAGTGCTCCTCCTCGCGTGGGCCCTAAAAGGCTGTGATGTTTGCACAGAAGAGGTCCGAGGTATAGTGCTCAAATCCGTCTGCGACCGAGCGGCAGGTCTTGTTTCGGCCGTAATTACCGGTACAGGTGCTGTTGAGCTTCGTGGTGCGCTTAAGGTTCTCTGTCGTCTCCGTCCCCCAGAATTTAGACCGACATCTAGGTGGCTTGCGTGTACGGCACTTATAGACGGCGGTGGCCTGCTTTGTTCATTACTTAAACTGCCCGATCTTGGCGAGGATGATTGATTTCTGCGTCGTCTTGTAGTTCTGGGAGCATCATCACCAGAGGTTTCTCTCCCAGAATCCGTGAGCGAAGCTCGAGGAGACCGTCTTCGTCTATCTGCCGTATCACTCTCGCTTCTTCTAGATATATCGGGTCTCGATCTCTCTTCTTGTCGCCGCCTGAAAGCTTCTGCTATTCTCTCACTAATCTGATCCTCCTGATTAACATCGATATTCTCAAGATCAATTCCATCCAGTAATCCTTCCTCCCTAATTTGTCGTAAAATCTCTTCTTCCATCTCTCTAGAATCTATGTCAGAAGAGCTAATTAGTGACCGTAAAGATGATTGATGTTCGATCTGTCGTGCCGCTGACCGGCTAGTTTCTTCATGTCTCCTTATCGATTCGGTCTCACTATATCCCCTTCGTCGACCTTCAGAGTCGCTGCGGTCGGGTTCTGGCCTCAACGCAGAGGTTCCTTGTCGTGCTCTTCTTCTTTCATGATGCTCCTCCCTTCGCCGGCGTCGATCGGTATCATCTGTATTCCTATTGTCCCTACTCTGATCACGACTCGAATGATGTCTCGAACTATGCGATCTTTCTCCATCTCGTTCTCGTCTCCTTCTTTCCCTCCTTGCCTCCGAGCTTTCTACTCCCACTTCTCTCAAGCTTAAATCTCTCACTTCATCCATCAGCCTGCGATCCTCATCCTCCAGGCGTCTATCCCTTGAACTTCTGTCTCTCTGCTCCCATTTCGGTAACACTTCATCCCCAGATTTGTATTTCGCAGCAATTTCCTCCTTCTCGTCAGCTGTTCTACCTTTCTCTGGACTTCGCGCCAAAAACATATCCAGTAACGTCGCTATCGTAGAACTGTGCTTCGTATCTCGAACTGGTGCGCGACATGATGGGCATGTATATGGCGTACCACCGGGTGGAATGGGTGTTTGTGCATTATTTACGGAGACAAGTTGCCAGGAAAACCATTCTTTAAGACAAGAGCCGCAGAAGGTATGTAAACAATCGAGTAATGTCAACGGTTGATATAAAACCTCTGTGCAAATCTATGACCATTTAAAATCAGTACTCCATCCCTCGAGATGCAACTGCGGCTTCAAGCCCAGCCCTATAGAGTTTTGCGGGGCAAGGTCTGTTGTTAGGATGTTGTAACTTTAATAATTCTCGACTTACAGAACATGTCAACTCCTTCTCAAGGTCGAGACCTCGATTTTCGGAGCCAGAATCCATGATTCTTCCTACGAAGATATGTAGGATAAGGATGAAAGTGGAGTTGCAGAGGAGGATAGGTCATGATTGCGCTGGGCAATGAAGAAAAATGGATTGCTCTGTGGCGCGATACGATACGATGTGATTGAGAGCACGGGATTTGTAACCTTACCGCTAACGAAGAAAGATATCAAATTTCCTTGGAATGAATCTTCAAACATTTCTATTATATTTACACGATCTTCTTTCATGCGATCCTAATGAAATGTCTCGACTTTATCATAATTTGAAAGGCATATGTCTGCGTTGGATTCCTGTTGTTGTTCATCTACACACGTTTCGTGACCTTTTGGAGCTTATTTCAGCTCGTATTCACCGATTTTTGAACCTCACCACTCATATCAAGACCCAAGTATGAGTACAATTTGGATGTATTGAGCGTCGATGACAATTCATCATTCCGACTGTAAATAAGGATTATATAACTGGCAGCTACGGAAAAAATGAACAGTCCCATTGTCGAGCTGAGATATATGCAACCTGTCAAACACTTTAGAATCATCACCGCAAAGGCTTGGAGAAGTATATGCTATGTCTACTGACCTTTGGATGATACAGAGTCTCGAGATTTCGATCAACTTTCTTCTATTAAGTATGAGGTGGCTTTTGGTGATGGTATGCTTACATTCATACTTTGGAGAGGACGAAAGGTATTCTAGATCTTTCATTTGAACCTGCTCGATCCCTTTCCGCAGAGTAGAAAAAGACTTTCGAACAATAATTTCCAAGTGTCTCCTACAATTTGCTTCACCGAATCTATGATGTGCAACAAGGCTGTGTACGATTGAGGCTCAGCTGCTGTGCTGTGTAACGGGCCGCATAGATATTCAATGTTTCCCCTCAAGTGTTGGAAGAAGACTACTTCTATTACTATATTCCTGACATGAACTATCAAACAAAATGTTACCCGCTATATCACTCCAAACCACCTCAAACCAACAGAAAGATACCAGTGGTTCACCAGTTGTATCGGGTCCTCGGGATTCCCCCTCTATGCCGCTCTCATCCACAAGTGTGCAGAGTCAAGCCCAAGTTCCAACCCATTTTCCATTGGGACAACAAACCCCGCAAGCACAGCAGCCAGCTACAACTAGCAATCGATTCACTCGAGATGGCTATTTCAATCGCACCAAACTCTTCACCCTTGCTTTCCCTTCTTGGACGAACAGTCTTTTGAAAAGATTCGTCAAGCGTCTTATAACTTGGGACAAAGCAACAATCATTGCTGCAGTTGCCATTATAGTTGGTACTGTTATCTCATATTTCGCGTTGAAATTAGCTATTTGGACTGCAGCCAAGGACTTTATTGAATATTGTCAAGAAGAACAGGTGTGTATTTCTCAAACCGGGTGGGCCAATCGATATTACTGTCGATTACTGACTTAGAATCGAGTTACAGCCAACTCAAGAAGCAAGTGTGCAATGTCGAAAGGCGGCCACCCAAGGGCTACCTCCGCCTCCCTTTTATCGATATGAAGACGGTACTATAGTGCGTCGAACTTGGACTGGGATAATAATTGGAGCCACCGAGTCGAGAACGCAAAATGATTATTACATTTGTGGGTATGCACTCATAGCATCTACAATGTTTTACGCGGCATGGAATGTGAAATATTCAAAACTTCTGAGAATCGTAAGAGAGTCGTTTATGCCTGCACAATATGACGTTGAGCGACAGCCTCAAGACCTCGGTCATTGCACTAAAGATACATGTTCGATGGACTTAGCGGCAGAACATGCTTCCGCTGCGCTCCCCCGAAGGAATTCAAGTTCAAGATCAGTTGCAGTCTTTACCACCAGTCAAGATAATATGGAATCGCGCAAGCTGCGCCAAAGGACGATGAGAACCACAAAGAGAAATGCGTCACCCACTGGAAAGTTATCAAATGAGGTACATATAGAGCAGCAGCCCAAAATAAAGCTGAAAGGACCGGTAGTGAAGCAAGAGCAGAATGTCAGAGTAGACCAATTGACGCTCGAGGACTCGAAGATTCTCGAAAATATATGAAACTTTGAAACACGATACAAAGGCATCGACTAGAAGCAAAAGGTAGAGATGCATGGGGAAAATCACGAAGTAGAATTGTGGATTCTTAACATTCACAACAATTTTCAAGATGAATTTCCCATGTTCGATCGATACATTAATGACTTTCGCAGTTTTCTTTTAGAGTTATTTGTAATCGGAGGCCCTCGAGATCATCGAATAGTCGACAGGCGGGTTTATGACTCAATGCAAACATACCTCATATCAACGATTTTATTGATTTTATGATTCACAGACATTGTATAAATGAATTCTTAGATGACTCGACGAAAACAAATATCTGAGAGCATCCATCGTGAATACCAACATAAATAAGACTTTCACCACTGCGCAAGAGTATTCACATTGGAGTAACGCCTCCCTCATGAATCACATACACAGATCATGACGCAACTGTATAAACTTTCATCGCCTCTCTTGCCATCCCATTTTCCATTTCAACCTCAAAAATACCAACACTACACAAAAAATCGAAATTATATCTTCATCGTACATAATCATGACTACCTATGAGGCCGTGCCCAATACGGATGGCCAAATTCTTATACCCATCAGGAAGAAGCAACCAGTTCTGCCTCAACCTAATATTCCTCGCACTGTACCTCCCTCACAACGACTATCAGGCAGGAAGATACCTACCCGGAAATTTGGAGCTCAACCACGGCCACAATCATCGCCGTTTTATAAACCTGTTTACAGATCCAGGATTCGGACACCGGAAGCTTTGCGACCAGGACCAAGCCAAAGCTCAGGATTTAAGTCAAGCAAAACTCTAGAAGATGGAAAATCAGCCAATATAAGAGTTAGAGCTATTGATTCTTCCACTCAATACTTGCAAGCTTCGAATACCGGTACCTTGGGCTCCCATGCCTCGAATCAGAGGATCATAGCTAATGATTCAAAGCTTGTGAGACCGAAGGAAACCCCGTCGATAAAAGCAAAGGACAATGAACATGCCAATATAATGAGTCTTTCCTATATCATGGAGCAGCGACCCAGTGCGCAGAAGTTCTCGTCTGCTTTCGACGAAACGGAGGAGGGAGTTATCGACTTGACTGCGTCTTACCAGAGCGAAGAAGAATTCGAACCTGAAGACCAAGGTCAGGAAGAAATGCCACTCTCGATCAGGAATAATTCATACAACCGCGACATCCCTAATTTCTTGAAGTCTCGTCATCATATCCGTAATCAAATCAACGTTCCCTCCCTGCAAGATTCCTTGCTCAATACACCCGTGAAACTTGAGGACATTGAACAAGCTGTCAGAAGTTTTGATTTCGGCGGTGACACAGGAACATCAGGTACAATAGAATTCAGGGCGGGACGCAAATTACCACCAATCAAAGAAAGAGGCGCACGGTATTCTCAGTGTCATCCGAACTACATGGCTTCATTACCATCGACTTTGGCTCGGTCCATTCCAAGGAACACAGCATTACCTGATCTCAGTACCTTGAAACATACGGCTATAACTACGCTTGCCAGTCTCAATCGTTTTTTCGACGAGAAGAAGTTGTATCCTAGTGCCACTACTTCAGCCCTAAAACCAGATTCACCAGCGCCAACCGATGAGAGTGCTCGAAGTTACAGTCCCAGTCTGAAACGTTCATCGTCTCATATCTCCACCCATATCCCAGAAGAAATTCACCAGTCTACGTCACCTGCGTCACTAGCAATGGCTGAGCTCGATCCATCGAAAAAGAGAATACGCATAAACTCCATTCTGAATCCGACATCTTCTCCTACGGCCTCTATTTCGCTAACTCCTCAAATTCAATCTACTGGCCCTCTCCCTGGCGACACTTTTTCTACTCACGATTTACGTAAGCTCGCTAGCGATTTCGAGAATGATACCATAATGCCATCTCCGCCTTCTGACGCCTATCCATCTCCTCCTAAATCGGCATCATTGTCGTCATCGATTCCCCTCACGACTAGTCCACGCCCTCTCGCTCCCCAAGATACAAGTCCAAGCATCTCGCTGCCCAAGCGATTCACAGATTCACAACCTCACCTCGATTCATCCAGCGATCGTGCCTACAGATCTCCTGCACCCTCACCACCATCGCTACCACAATCTAGAGAACATGGTTCCGCTCTATTTGAGACACGCCCAAGGTCTGCAAATCCAACGATTGCCGATACTAGAAAATCAAACCCAACTCCACAATCTCAACTCCTTTTCTTTGGTCATCAAGCTTATTCACCTCTACCTACACAATCCGCATCAACCACTCGCTCATCCTCACCCTCATCCACCAACTCCAATTCCAAATCCCTCCCACGCAAAAACTTCGCTTACAGGGCATGGAAAATGCGTCCTTCTCGCTCTATAATTACTGATGTCTCTTCTTCAAACGCTCCGCAGTACTTGGTCGTGATCCGCAATGACGACCGTTCAAAGTCCATTCCAAGTTCGGGTGCCTCGGATGAAAATGATAATACAGGTAAATGGTGGAGTGTACTTGCGGGAAAAGAGGGGCTGGACGAGATTAGAAAGATTTTCGAATAGAGATGAATGGATGGATGGATGGATGGATGGGAAACGGAAGGATAGGACCCGGGGGTCATGGGTGACTAACTGTGGAAGAAATATCTCGCCAATACATAAAAAGTGCAAGGGACTTAGAGCATTGGGGAAGGAATAACGTCTACAAACAACTCGAACCTCAATGAGAGGAGAGAAACTGTACATTAGCTCAAGGGGTTAACGGATTCGGAACTCGGTGGTTTTCATCATCTACATATGGAATATGATTGCGCGTAGTTTTGCGATTGCATGTTTCACTACGTACTGCATGGAAGTAGTATGATTGGATTCAGCATAATACCTTAATATCAATATCAAATTGTCATCTATCAACGCTGTTTCAAAATCAGCAAACAAGAATTTTAAGGTGAGTTGTGAAGAGCTCAGATAGCTGATATTAGTTCTCCATCTAAGGTACTAACTTATGCAAAAGTCTCAGGAGCTATTATAACGACCAAACGTGATATACTCCCCGTCCTTCTTCTTCACTTGATATGCATAACGTCCAGACGGCTTATTGTTTAGTTTCTTATTGCTAAAATGGTCTATCTATACATATTCTCCAAATAAGCCTGCGCATTCGCGAAATGCAATATCGTATTTCGGAATCTATAAATTTGTAGCAACTTAATCAAACCCAAAGTTTACCAAGAACCAATTGATATCCACCGACAAGACCACAATATGTTCTAATGTGTTCTCATCTTAATGCTGCGTAGACTTCACAAAAATCGCAAAGTGGAAAGCCTCAACCCCGCGTCGTAAAATCCACCTTTCTAAATCTCGCTTTTACTTTCGCTTTCCCTTGCCGGTCGTTAAATTTGCAATTGAGCATCCGAGTGATTTCTCGTTGTTGTTGTCGAAAAGTAACAGTGTAGTCTATCACTCGTTGAGTCTTCCACAAAACAAACACGCCTCTTTCCACTTGACTTTCCAATTCAAATATTCCATCGCGTGGCCGTTCCAACAACTTTGAGAATTGAATACCCAGCTCAAGTATCCTTTTCGAAACATTGCACTCTTGAATTTCGCCTCGAAAAGATGCTAATGAATTATCTTGTCTTTTCTGTGTTTGATAGTAGTTCAGAGCAATTCAATGCTATACTAAGCTTTACTATGGTATATAGTATATCTGCGCGAGATACAAAGGAGGTATTATATAGTACATTTAAAAGCACAGTTTTCAATGACGTGGATTCCGTCACACCATATTTCTTGCAGAGGGCCAAGTGTTTGTATATGATCCATGCCATGCTGATCTTCAACCTTGAGCTTCTCCTGTCGTTCCTATCTTCAACCTCATGTCTCCAATTTCGTAGCGGGCACCGTTGGAACATCTGGTTGTTCTTCTTCCTTCCTATTTTCCATATCAACATCCTCGTTTTCCGACGGTGTTAATTTCGCCGCCTCATTTCCCTCCTCAGTTTTCTGATCCCCACTTTCCAGCGCATCTTCATCGCCAGGGGCGACAAGATCTTCGGGTTTGACATCATCCTTGAAGATTTCGTCAATGCTATCCGATTTCTCGATTTTGTCAAAAGCAGCAAGTTTTCTTGCACCAGCAATTCGTAGTGCTCTCCAACATTTACTCGCTTTAGCTTCTATAGCCATGTTTTTTGATTCTTCGTCTCGAGCCATATCGATATCCATATCGTCCAGCTCGATTTTATTCTTGAAGCTCTTTATGGAAGGAACTTGATAACGTTCTGTTTTTTTCAGCCTCTCCAAGCCGCTCTGTAAGTCGCTTTCCGCAAGGAATTTGAGATCCAGAGATCCTAGGGGGTTAGGGCGTAATCGTTTATTAGTTGTTGCTTTGCGGGCCGACGCTTTAGCGGTAATATAATCATGAGGTGAAACAGCTGATCTAGCAATAGAAGGGCAATTTTCGACCTTCCAACGAACCCAGTTCTTATCTCTTGACAGAACCGTCTCAACCATACGGTAGAAAAAGGCACCATCCGCGCCTTTCTTTAGATATTCTGCAATCGACTTTTTCATATCCAATGACCACTTTGTCTATAAATTATCAGCTAATACCTACTACAAGGCGCGTCCAGAAAAGAGGTTACTTACATCCTCCTCACTGAGCGTCTGGTCTGCATAAGTAACTGATCTATTGAGGTTATCCGGTAGAGCTTTGGACAGCTTCTCTTTCGCTTTGGCACTTAATGAAAGAAGGAAATCCATTATTATCAGAATTTGAACAAGTATATGCCTTCTAAATGACAAATCACTAATCTAGCAATGTTGAGTCAGCATCTTGATAAATTTTGTGCGTGTTAAAAGATATCATACCTCTAATTCAAATAAGTCCCTACTCGTGAGATATTTAGGATTGAAGGAATTAGCTAGGTCGTCGTCTCCTTGACTACGCTTTCTTTTTGTTCCCCTCTTACTATCCTCTGCTACTCTCGCCGCCGGACGCCCTGCAGTTTCATGATGTACCGACTTGAAAGTTGCTATCGTAGCTTCCAGACCCTTTTTGAACTCGGCAAAATTCTCGGAGTTGAACAATCTTTTCGGTTGGCTGAAGCTCTGCTGCAACGACCAGAATATCGGGTATAACTCATCGGGCTTCATTGGCGGTTCACGTTTCGATGATACTACATCCTTGCCTGAACCATTAGTATCTTCAGAACCTCTTGCCGTGCTCGTCCTTCCATTTGATGCTGACTTGGAAGTTGGTGGAGTTTCTTTCGTATTGCTGTCCGAATCTACTTCCATGTTCTCAACGTCCGTTGGAATGGACGGTAGGGTGTCGAAAGATGTAACATTTTCGACGTGAAATTCACCGCGTAGATTCACAGAACTCTTGTCGCCAAGGGGAAAGCTTTGAAACATGAAGATGAAAACGCGACCACAGAATGCGGTATCCTCTGCTCTGGAAAGTCGCCGCAAAAGCTCGTTGCAGCTTCTCAAGATAACTAAGTTCTTTTGGTTGAAATGTTTTGCAGTAATCTTTTCACGTCGTGACTCAAGATAATCGAATATTCTCCGGCATCCTGCAATAGTCTGACTATCCAGTAATTCTTCAACGAGCCAAAAGAGAAGGGCGGGTTCGCATTGTTCATCGTCAGACAAAATGGAGATAATATCGAGAAGGTTCCACAACCTGGAAGAGGAAGAAGTTTCAATGGATATAGATGCCTATGGGTCGTCAGAGGGTATCTACGACTCGTACTGGTGCATGGCTTACCAGTAAATTGTTGAAAGTATCTCGAACAGCGGTTTCGATGATCGCATACTGACTGCGCTTTTTAGTTTCTATAGGTGCCGCGTCATTAAATATCTGATCGATTCGCTCGTATGTATTCGCAAGCTCCGCTTTACTCAATGGCGACTCTATCGTGTGTTTTTCTTTAACATGTTCAGCCCGCTGAAGCATTTCCAACAATAATTGCGCAAAAGATTCCACAATAGGAAGACCGTGTCCCTCCATACTGACAGCCATGTTAAGTTTCGATGTCGATTCAAAGAATCTTTTCGTACTGGCGCCGACGAAAAGATGTGATTTGAAAGACTTCAAAGGTTGGTGGCAGAATTAATTGTTGCGAGAAGTGAAGGTTATCGCGACGTCAATCTAGATACGGCGAATTTCTGCTTAGTCATCACGTGCAAGAGCACTGGTGCACCAAGCTCCCAAAAATTACTAGGACGATAAGATGTTCACACGCGACCGACGCGCGCAATCCAAATTGCCAGTCAATACCACGAATAACAACAATGGCCCCGAGGACGAAAGGAAGAGGCCAGGGGAAGGCTGTTGAAGAAACTATGGGAGTGCCACTTGCGGAGGTATCACAGGATGAAAGCTCATTTTCGCAACTCGCCGCAAAATATTGGTTGAAACCTTCGAAGAAGTCCGCAAAGGTTAAGGTCAAGCCTGATGTTATCAAGAAAGAAATATGGGATGTTTTAGAGCAGGAAGATTTTTCTTACAGATCTCTTTTGACTCTGGAAAATCTTCATATTCTTGAAAAGTACATTCATCCACTCAGACCTTTAACGTGGGAGCTATTACTGACAACAATGCTAGTTATCTTTGGCCGGGTTATTCAGAAGATGCTTCAAACTTCCATATACTTCTCATAGTTCTCATTGTGAATGTACGGACTAGAGAACATCTGCCAACTTGGGGTAAGCACTATTAAGGAAGCCTCAATTCGTCATACTGATGAACATAGATATCTTTGCGGACAATACACCTGATTTCTCAACTCTCTTCCGCCGAATACTGTCTATGACATTGGACACTACCCTCTCTGCGACGATTCGAACACATCTGTTGTCATTCATAATAAGCGCATTCCAGTCACTAGACAATGGTATAGTTCGAAAAGAGTGCGCACCTTTGGTCTCAATATCCATTTGGCACAACATCTCAAGCGAGAAGAAAAGAGAAAAGATACTCGATCATACTGTACAATTGAAGAAAGCTTGGAGGGCGGCAGGAAAACGATATGATGCCTCTGATGAACCTACGAAAGCTAGACTCAGGTTTGAGCGATCTTGGCTCTTGACTCTGATCCTGGACTTTTTCAATCAACTCTACGGAGACAAAATAAAGACTGGTTCGTTGAAACTTCACCATCACTATGATCTTTTCCTTTTCGCTAATACACGAATCAGAAAATGTGCAGTATTGCGAAAAATTTATAGAGTTTTTATCGGATCTTCAGAGCCAATTACCAACCAGGAGATACTTGAACACGCTATTACAAGATCTTCACGTTCTTCCAACTATCAGACTATCCCCAGCCTTCAATGAAGAGGATAAAGGGCTTCTACGAGATCTATATGCGCTTTTGAAGCATTATACATATTTTGCAATCAATGATCATACAGGCGCTCAACATAGCCGCACGGAAGCATATGAACGTCATTGTGCAACACTAGCGTCCCTGCAAAGAACTGCACTCAAGAATTTCAAGGAAAAACTAACTATTCTTGCCTTGTCCAATTATTCGTCCATTAATAAGCGG